TTTGTGGGATCAAAATTATATTATAGTTGGAGGTAAAAACAATACCAAATATTTTACACGAGTTGCTCTCGGAGCATCTGCTAACTTTATGCTGTAAGTAAATGAATCATTCGTATGAATTGTCCAAAATTATAAATTATTTTATTGATTTTATATTTTCTCAGTTGCGTTTCTCCAAATTTCAAATGTATTCTTATCATGGATGAAAAGAAAGTGCGAGTTGCCTCCTCCACTACTTAATCGATTTGAAAAACAAAAAATGTCAATTAATGACGACGTTGTTAATACAAGACAAAAATCACTTGTAATAAAGTTGGGTGACTGGACAAGATGCATGTCCACTGCTAATCAAATATCTAAATTGCAAAATAATGAATTTACGCAGAAAGATTTATTTATCGGTTTCAACGAAGATGAAACTTTACAAAGTTTGGTCGTTGACTCTACAAAGAATGTTCCAGAAGCTATGGATGAGGAGATTCTCATAAAAATGTAAGGAGCGTCTAATAGCAACAGCAACTTCTGGTGGAATTGTGAGAGCCGAAAAATCAATGTTAGAACAAGATGAAATCGATCAATGGAAAAAATTATATTTCCAACAAAAACATGATAGTCTTTATGAATATTTTGAAAATTTATTAGCTGATCAGAAAGATTATAAAGGACACTTGGTAATTGTCAACACATTCTCCAACATTAATACTGATGTAATGTCTTTTACCAGACAATCTGAATTGTCAAGTGGTTAAATTATCAACTTTCAAAGCTGAAGCTTACCTTACAAATCGGGTAAGTTGTTACCATTTTTTTTTAAAAAAAAAAAAATAACTAAAATAACTATTCATATATAAATAATACGTCTACAGGTAAAAAAATTCTGGCTAGAATCAACAAATAATATGTTAATTCTTCAGTGTAACGCAACTGCCACTAATGCTGGATGTATCAAATTAGCTAAGTTTATTATTGAACAATTTCAACGTGAATTCTTAGCAAAGAAAGATGATCTAATGGAAATGAAGCAAGCGTGTATTATTCTACATATTCATCGAGTTCAGGAATCCATTTTGGCACCGTTTAATTTTATGTGCGGTTGGAGATAAATGACTATAGAAACTTTATCAAACAATGATGTTCCTTTACATAATCTTTTGGATAAGACATTATCTGAAATTATAAATTCTTCCTATCCATTCAAAAAAATTTTACAAGAAGAATTATTATGGTGTTTGTTGTGTATGAAATATCCATCAAATATCAAGTTTGTCAACTATATAAAGTAAGAGTTTGCTCTACTGCTTAAAATCTTTGTATTACGTTCGAAAGCTATTATTGAATTGAAATTTTTTTATTTTTTTTAAAAAAAATCTAGGATGTTAAGCGAAAAAATACAGCCTTGATTGAATGCTTGAAAGCAAAAACCTTAGAATGGATCGAAGAAAACTCTGCAGCTGGTTGGCAATATAAAGTTGCATCAAACAAACAGCTTTTATACCCATACTCATCGTTTTCTGTGGCATTACAATTTCATATTAGAACACTGATTAGCTAAAACTATATGTGCCTTGGAAAGGTTAACAGCGATAAAAACTCTTTTTTATGTTGTTGATAATGTAGAAAATGATATGTTACTTGAATTTTGGAAACAAAATTGTATGGATAATAAAATTGTCAATATTAAAGATATACCAGATCCAAAGCCTGATTTATATACTATGCCTGTTGAACATTTGTACGATCTTGAGTTTCCTTTCTCGTTTTATTTTATGAAACTAATTGATAATTTTAAAAGACATTATAGCAGGATGAAGATAAAATTGATAACACGACTAATGAAATTAATGAATATGGAATTGAGAAACATTTGAAAAGTTGTTATAGAAATTATTCTTACATCGGTTTCCCAATTAGAAGATTCTTCTCTTGAGCGGTTTCCTAACTATATTTTAATGATTTCGTTACTGTAATTGCGTCAAGTGAGAGTGGAAATATGAATACAAAAATTTTAGCATTAATCTTGAAAAGGCTAATTGGTGCTGATAAAGTGCATCAGCCAATTCTTATTCACACTTTTTGGTGGAAAAATCTAGTGAAGTAACAGCGCAATTACAACTAGTTCAAATGGCCCCAGAAATTGTTGAAAATATTGAAGACCAAGAAAACGATATTATTGAGGAAGTAATTGAAATGTATATTGTTAAAGAAATAACAAAGATGCTTCAGAATATTTGTGAAAAATTAGGAGACGAAGTAAATACTTTTTTGATCAATAGACGGCAACATGATGTATCCAAAATCCTATTCCTTTGTAATAAGATAACGCGAGCAAATAAATTGCCAGATTTACAATTATTAAGTATAGTAAATGACTTGGTCACAACAATAATTCCTTTAAAAAGAATAAGAGAGATTGTTCAACTTGGATTAAATTCGAACGACCAAGAGATTCTTTCTGAGGAATTTGTCTGCGCCATACTTGATAAATTAGATTTACTAGAGCAAAATGATACCAAAGAGATCATTTATCATGAGATGTTTAGCATTAATTCCTATTGAATCAGATGTTCGATTAAATCTTTATAACAAATTATTTTCAAGTGAACCCTTCCCATTAATGGGTGCGATCGTTGAAAGGATATTCCTTAAAGAGAATGACGAAAATGATAATATATTCTTTACAATAATTACAAATGCAGAGGAAGCTTTAGGACAATCTGCTCGGCTAGTTGCTATTAATGAATGTTTCAAAGACTTGGATATAAATATGAAAAAGTTATGTTGTGATGTTATCGGGCAAACATTCTTTATGGATTACGAATTGGAAGAACTTTCGGAACTTTCGGAATATTTTGGAGATGCCCTTGGTGCTTTATCCAGTTCAGGAGCACCAGCATTGCAAAAAATAACTGCAATCGCTTTCCTTAAAGAATTTGTTCGTCAATTCTGAAATAGTTTCCTTCAAGGAGATAAAAATCGTCCCATTACGTATAATAAAATGGAAGACGACGGAGAATTTGATAGTGCTGATTGTATCAATCAAGTAAATGAAAGTATGAATTTCGCTCATCCTTTGATTCATGCTCTCAAAATTTACTTTTTAAGAGATTTACGTCAAAGAGATTTTTCAAATGATGATGTTAGAAAATTTTGTGAAGCTCAGAAAAGAATTATACCTTGGATTGGAACTTTAAATTGGGAAAATGTTAAAGAAAATCGATTGCCTTTTAATCCATATTTTTACTTTACCCGAATATGACGAAGCTGACAAGTTTTTACGACCTTATATTATATAAACCACCAAACGCCTATACAAATATTCATACAAAAGATCAAACAAAAGGATACTTTAACGGCAAGAATATCTTTAATTTAATGGGACTTTTCTTTGTACGTCTTCATGCTATAAGGGCTTCAAGAGAATAGCAACATCCAGAAAAACAATCGACTTGATCAAAGAACTCGCTGGAATGAATAATCTCCCGGAATTATATAAAAATTGCAACAAAATTATTTTCAAATGATTATCCTTTACTTCAAATTAACAATTCAAATATTAGTAATATCAATTTGCTTATAAAATCTGTTATTGCACATATAATCACATATCACGCTTCAGTTGGACCAATTTCATCCCAATTGGCAATGTTTTTACACCGATTACAAGATTGTCAAAATTTGTTCATTTTAACGTGTGCAATTGCTTACGAAGGAGTCACAAGCTAAATGTGGTATGAAATATGTTTATTGTGGACTCCCTATGGAGTCTATGATATGTCTAAATTGTAAACAAAAAATTGATGACGGCGGCTATCATCAAATTCTAGAGGGAAACACTAAACTTGGTGTAAAAGGATATATCGGAGAACTTCTTAATAAAAATATGAATCATTTCGTCAGATCTTTGAAAGCTACTTCATATCGTATATTACATTTAATCGTTCATGCTCTTATTGGTGCATCATCCCCTCAACCTGCACTTGCTCTCCTTCGTAGAAATAATGCGGTAGCTACAGATACAGAAAAGTATTGCATGAAGCATATTCAAAATGATTGGGAGGTTCTCAAAAAACTTCTTGATTGTTCAGATGAGGTATAGTGTGTTTATTTGTTTGATTTTTATCCCGGTTATTAAATTTTATTTATTCTATATTTTATCAGAATTTGGCATTAATGTTCCACTTGTTAATTAATGATGGAAAAACCTCCATTACCGAATCAACAAATAAAAACTGCCGCTGAACGCGAGACTTAGGAAATGGTATTTCAGAGAGATTATATCGAACCACAAATTAGGGATATAACTGATACGGCAACCAATTATCGTAGAAAAATAGACGCGGCTTCAGCTAAAAATCAAAATAATGTTAATACGATTGAGAGTGAAATTGACCAGACCTTGGTAATGGATAAACAGTATCGAAATACAAATTTACCAAGTTTATGGAGGATGATCGGAACAATTAATTTTGATAGTTTCCGTGCTTATTTTATTAGTGACGTGGAAAGAAAGAGAACAATTATCCTTTTCTATCAGTATTTTTCAAACACGCTAAGCAGTTAGAATTTCTCAAACATCTTTACCCATTGTAAAATTTGTTCAACTTTTGAATTCCAAATTTGGATATTACTTGACAAGACAACATGCGATAGAAATGACCTTTAGGGATTTTATTGAAAGTGGTGGTGAAAATTCTGAAATTTTCAATATGGCCTTTGAAGACTTTAAACTTTGTTGGAATACAGTTAAGCATAATGTAACACTCTTTCAAAATCATGAACTACCAAATATTCCAGACATGGAATGTGGGTGGGCTTCGAATCGTTTAGGTTTAACGGAAGCTAAAGAAGAGGGGATTTTCTTATGTGCGATTTTATATTTATTAATTAATTTACAAAACACTTTCCTACGTGAAGTCATGACAATTCCGTAAATCTCTCAAGTTTTTAGATGAACCAGTATTTGACGAACAAACTAAAGTTGTATTGATCAAACCAGATAAGCCTAAAAGATATTTCATTCAATCTATGCGTATTGATCGTGCACGGATCGGGAATATAATAAAATTTACTTGGGATGACAAAATTCTTGCATATAGTCAAAGAAATTTTGAAGTTGCCAAAGGATGAGGAATCGTTTATAATTTAGCAAAAATTGAGGCAGAATTAGCAAATATTCTAATTTTTGACAGAGTTTATATTGAAACAGTAAAACAAGTATCTCAATTATATTTAGAAAATTTTCCATACCAGATAGAACTGTTCCACGGATGTATGAGAATCCTCAGTGATATTAAGGATTTAATACCTCAAGAACCAATTCCTATTGATAAAATTAATTGTTAAATAAATCTGGATTTTCTAATTCAATGTATGCGCATGGTTCAGAATTATCTTTGGAAAATGCGTCAGAAACCTTATCATCTTTGGAAATTCTTCTAAAGTTTTGTTAAACGTATACCAGTTGGAGATGGGGAAAGGTCTAGGATTATGTTAAACAATGGATTAAATTATCATCGTTAATCGAACATATAGAGTTCTCTGAAGTTTTAAACATCGGGTTTCGACTTAAACACTTAGTAACTTTATATGAACTCATTGAAGAACATGTTGCC